CTTCCAAAGTATTTTTGAAGGCCTACATTCCATGTATGAGTTATTTGATCTATTTATACTTAAATACTGAATGTTCACCTGTTTTTAATGATGTTCAGATGATCCTGGATCTCTTTCTTCTCCGTCTGCTTCTGAGCAAGGGTTGCTCTGTCAACAAAGAGAATACGGTCATTTCCATCCTTGTTTTGACTTTTATTCAGCTGCTGTAAATGCATCGGTTTCTCAGCTGTTTGGGTCCATGATGTTGGCCTCGGATGCTTTGGAAGTTTTAGACTACAGACATAGATTTATACAGAGCAGATGTGTTTCCAGCAGATACAGCCAATCGAACTAGAGGTAGGGAGAATGGTTAGCTCCACATTAATATCTTTTTACTGATTAGCAGATTCAGAGTCCAGCTGGAATGTAAATAGACCAAACTCTAATTGGACTGCATGTCTTTAAATGGATTCAATATACTTGGATCAGAACAGAGACCACTATAGTTTTACTGCAAAAATAATTGTATTCTTGCAAGGAATCTTTTATTTTTTTCCCCCTTTCTTGACCCTGATCATAAGAGTTTAATTTGTACATTTCAGCATATGTTCATAATCAATATTTAGTCAGACCTTTGGATTCAAACATCAATAAACATGTAAAGTTTATAATCTGCTAAAAGTTTCACAAAGCTCTAAACATATTTTTAAGATCTTCCGGTTGTGTTTATGTAATTTTGAGTCTTCACTGCACAAATCTTTCACTTTCTGGTTCTTTTTTTTTTGTTCCGTTTATAGACAATAATAAGAAATAAACATAAGTTGTATAGCAGGCATGAACAGAAAGTACTTTCACATTAATCTATATTCATGCTGTCCATGCAGATCCTTTTGATATTGATATAATTTTCTGGGAATGGTAGACATCGTACAACAGGAATCAGGAAACTATAGATAAATTATAGGTAAAATCAAAGTCTTTGGCTAAAATGTCAACATTTAATATCCTCCATTAAAGCCTTTGCTGGTAAGTGTGACACCTTGGGTGTTTTTCTTTTTTAACAAAACATTATGTGCAGAACCGGACATGAATCACTCTTTATCTGTTACAATGAGAATTTATGTCGATGTTATAATTGATCTCTCTTTATTGTGACAGTATGCCCTGTTTTTAATATTATAAACTCATCAGAATTATAATTTATCATGAAAACTAGGGCTGGGCAAAAAAAACAAAAAACAATTTAATTGATTTTGGATCGATTCCTTTACAGTTTTACAAATGTGCAGAGAATAAGATCGATTAGTTTTATAGTGACGCGCACGGCGTTCACATTCACATACATTGATAATGCCTCGCATCTCGTGCTACAGACCACCAAGATTATTTCAAGCCAGAGAGCTGCAAATATAGCCAATAGGTTGACTGAAGACATTAACAGATGGAGGCTGACCAGCAAACACCCTGTAGTTGTTGCAGACAATGCTGCAAATATAGTTTGTGTAGTGAAGATAATGCAGCTCAGCTGTGTCCCTGCTGTGTCACGTCTGCTTGCTCCTGAGGCTTCACTTTTTCACTTTTCACAAACAAGTTTGCACTTTTGAGACAGTTTTGTTCACATCTCAAGTTCAAACTGTCTGATTTACAAGTTTGTTTACAAGCACAGTTGAACCACTTTCATTATTATAAAAACAGATTGTATCGAAATGAATCGATTTAGTACTGTATGAATCAAAGTCGAATACCCAGTCGTAATGAAAACAATTACTTCCTAAAAATGCTGTAAGGAAACCCCTCCAACTTAAAGTATTATTGTTATTTTATTTGTGTTTATTTGTTTTCTCCATTGCTGGTTCAATGAATTCATTAATAAAATATCAAATATACCTAAATGCAGGCACTGTGTGCAGGTTAGTGGTGAGTATTTCACTTTTTTGTATCCCTGGAGTCCTGAGGAAGCCTTTTTCTAAATTATCAGGTTATTAAATGTAAGGTTTGTGTTTTGCCTGCAGTGGCATATGGTCAAAGCCTGATATTTAATGAAATTAGACCAAAAAAAAATGAACAGAACCAGTAAATATTGTAATAAATGTTTATGTTCCAGCTGTCCTACTGCTATAGTGAATAGGTGAAGGAGATGAAACTCACAGTATGGAAAGGTCCAATATGTTCTCCATGGTGGTAATGGTGGATGGGGGGGTCAGTATCCAGCTGTCAGGAACTTTCTTTATCTTCGACACTGAAAGGGAACCTCATTCCCATTTAGGAACAAAGATCAAACTAAACAACACACACCAGGGTAAAGAATTAGCTCTTACCTTTCTTTTTCTGCAGTGGTTTTGATTTGTTGATCCTGTCATGTCTATTTTGCACCTGACCCTAAAATACGAGGCAAAGTTGGGATTATTTAGAGACAAACTCCTCCAGGAACAGATTAATATTGCTAACAGATGCGGGTTTGCTTCGTCTCACTTGGTCTGCTGTAGATCCTGATGTCTTTCCTTGTTTCTTTTTCCCGTTGGGAGCTTTTGATGAAGGCCGGCTTGAGCCTCTTGTGGGTTTCATGTCAACTTTGGAGAAACCGTAAGGTAAATTTAGCTAATAAGCAACGCCTTCGGCTTCGCTAAAAGAGATAAAACGGAAGGCAGCTTAAATAGGTGCGATAATGTAATTTAGGATTCGAGGGAAAAAATAAAATGAAAGCCCGCAATAAGAACAGCCATGGTGTTAAATTACCCAGCGACTTGTATTTTCGCGCTGCTCGTTTGGAACTTTTTTGAACCTCTGCGCATGCGCTAATATTTCATTTTCTTCGCAGGTTTGGCGTTTGTTTAAAAAAAGCGAAAGGTGTGCACTACTGCCACATATCGGCATGGAAGTGTGATACAGAATGACTTCAAATTCTATAAATGTTTGTGTAAAAATGAATGCGTTGAGTCTCCCTCTTGTCTAAATAAAACTCGTTCGAGGTAATTAACATCAAATTGCTTTACTGAATTTTCATTTAAAAAAAATAATAAATCAATCAATAAAACAAGCACCTCAACTTTGCGACTGTTTAAAGTGTTTCCTTATATTGCTGCATTTCCATAAACAGTAACTCATCCCTCTACTTCAATTTGTGTTTCCGGACAAAGATCCCTTTATTCTGAGATAAAGTTATTTTTAAGGTTAACATAATCAGATTTTTATTGACCGTTATTTGAAAGACTAGTTTTCCTCCATACATGTAACTTATCTCTGTTAAAATATAAGTGAAAATAAATTGGATCAATTCAGGTTTATAATTTGTTAAAAAATACTTGATCTAGATATTTACAAATCGGCACCTGATTTGTAAATATGCAATATAAATCTACTAACAATTTATTTTCAAACAAGTAGAAATATCTACTGTTTACATTTATGTTATAAAACTTGTAAAACAAGCTATTTAATCATTGAACCACACAATCAAAGGTTTGATGATATGTAACAAACATCTGACTTTGAGAGACCCAAAATATGCATGAGAGGGAAAGTAAATGTTATCAAAAAGAGATATTTCACAAAAATGCTGTTCCTCAACATCAAATTAAACATGAACATATAAACTCTGTAATACTCCAATCATTTAAACCGGCAAATATCTACACACATAGTGCAAATTGATGAGTTTACAGAAATGTTTTATACAAAATCTTTTTTTTTTTTTTTTCGCAAAAATGTCTTTCTTGTAATTTTTATGCAATGAAATGTTTGCAAAAACCACTTAAAAAAACACACTTAGATAAGCGTATTAGCATATTATTTCATGTTTTCATGTTGCATTGTGGTTTTCAATAAATGAAGTATAATCATTTCGTTTCCATACTTTATTTAGTTTTTCTATGAGCCAGAACCAACATGATATGAGAAAATGACTTGACAAAATGTTAGAATGAAAAAACAAGATCATCATGGAAGCAGGGAAATAATCATCACGCCTTCATTCATGGTCTGGGTGATGTGAGCTGCTCCACAGGTCCCTCACACCCTCCCAGGAAGGTGAAATTTGCCAGTAAAGCGTCCATGGTTGTTCAGGTCAAATGGACTAAGCACCTTCCTGATGCCCAACATGTTGCCCCGGGCTATCTGCTGAAAGGTCCAGGGATTCTGGTTGTTCTTCTCCATCTCTTCCTGTTTTCTTTGCATTTCTTCCAGACTCTCTCTGCTCATTACCTGAAATAATAAATGAAAAAACATTTTATATCCTTGAACAAACTGGTGAGAAAGGCATTTTCTGTCCTAGGCTGCACTCTGGACTCAGAGGATCAGGTGGCTGAGAGGAGGCGGCTGCCCAATCTTACATCCATCACGGACAACACCTTCCACCTTCTGCACAAGACTATAGAAAAGCTGAGGAGCTTCTTTAGTGAAAGACTTTTTACCGTTTGTAAAAAGGTGCGCTACTGCAGGTCATTTATCCCTGCTGTAGCCAGACTCTACAATGTGACAATAAAAAAGCAATAACTTGTGCAATGTATAATGTGCAATTACTATTTAATACCCTGTGCACAGAGTATTAAAGTAGGAAAAAATGTTCTCAGAACAGTACATAACCTGTTTAGAAATACCTGATGTTTTCAGCCATTTTTCAGAGAACATAAATCATAATACACAGCCTTTTTGCTCGCTGCTTTAGTGAAACCATAGATGCATATATGCTGCAAACAAAGTGAACTTTTCTCAACCTTCCTTCCTGCCAAAAAGCATCCAGGTCTCATCTTGGGTTTCATAAATCATACAATGGAGATACCTAAAATAGCTTAATCATACTAAGACCAACAGATTGAGATGGTCAGTCCAGAACCTTCTAGCCGGAGGGGGAACCGTGATGTCTTGTTTTTTTAGTAACTTACCATGTCCATGGATTTTGAGCATGCTTTCTGTGCACATGTAGCTCACACACCCACGGTGTCCGACCCACCTCTTGAGTTTCACAGGAGGAAAGGTGTGCTTGCTGACCATATTCAAGGCTCTGAGCTTAAAATTTAGTTTTTGCCTTGTTAAGTTTTGGCTCATCTGAGTAGCATCCTCCATTTGGATGCAGGCCCCTTAGATGCAACTGCGTCATAATTGTTTTCTTCTGTCTGCTTGACCCTTTTCTCTTGAATTGCCTCTTTGTGCCGTTTCTATAATCTATACCAATTATTTTAGAAGGTCCTTCATGTCTGCTGAGATTTTTCAGGGTTTTCCTTTAATACTCAGCAATTTTCAAAGCTGATGTTAATTAATTTTTGGGGGGTTCCTGACTTTAGCTTGTTTTTTAACAGAATATCTCACTTTCTACTTCTTACACAGGATTAGGACAAGCTCATATTATTTTACCGTTTTCTTTATTGAAAAAAATAATAATAATCAAGTATCTTCACAGATCACAGTTGTTTTGCTTCCCTCAAGCCTGAGTCCAACACAATTATTATAGACATTAAACACCCAGACTAATTACAAGTAGTAATAAATAAAAACTGTAATAAAATGGAAATAAATAGCCATCGGAAGCCGTATTGCGTGATTATAAAATGAATGAAAATTTTCCAGCCTTATTTAAATTTCTATTTGCTTGTATGATCAGAAAGTCATGCAGAGAGACACTGTTGATGAGGATGCAGCCATGTTTCAGAGAAACACATCATACTGCACTCCATATTTTCAGACTGGGACTCTACTGAAGCCTGGGTTCTTCTACCTTATTTGAAAAAGATTTCACATTTCCCATAACAAATGATCTAAGAGCTGGTTTGTTTTTCCTCTATTTCTCTCTTCTCCTTTCCCCTGCTTTGCATCCTTGGCTCGTCCTTTTCAACTCATCTTAGACTTGTGAAAGTAGTTGTATTTTTTCAGCTTTAGTGATTTTAATCAGCTGCTCCTTGCACACAAGAAAAAAAAAACTTCCTATGTTTACAGCATCATAACAAACGCCCTAAAACAAAAAAGACACCAGCTAAAATCCCCCCAGCTACACAGCATCCAACAGCAGAGAAGATAAACACCCAAAAAAAGAAACCCTGGTCCACGTGCAAAGGAAACTAAGCTATTCTACATGTAGAACAGCCCATTAGAATGAAAACAGTAGAGCTAGTGTGACATGCAGCCACCATGAGCATCACAATTTCTAATGATGCAGAGATTTTTTTTGTTTTATTTAAATCAAGCTTATATGTAGGTTATACACAAGTTAGATCAGGGTTATTTAGGTGGTTACTGTTTTGAATATGAGCAAAATAGAGCCAAATCAGCTCTTTGATCAAAAACGACAGCTTCTGCAAACCTCTAACCACAGGAAGAGAACTCTTCTTGCAGTATCATCCACATACTCAGAAAAATAGTCAGTAATCTCTGTGATCTCACCTTAGCAGGAAAAGGCAGCTTCTTGGCCACTTCAGTCAAGATATGCTCAACCTCTCCCAGCTCTATCTTTCCTCCCACCTCCACAATCAAACGTCCGTACCGGACCGGTGTCACGTAATGGTCGATGGCTCCTTTCCCTCCGCCCATGCGCTGGCCCAGGCCTTTACGTGTGATTGGCTTGTACGGGGCATTGATACGCCAACGGGCGAACGTTGTGCGGGCATCTATTTTTCGGTTAATTGTTAGACGGATCATCTCTAAATGACCCCAGTGCAGGTAGCCTCCACCCATGGCCTGAAATGTAAAGCAGGAAAGTTTGTGTTTCATTCAAGGGTCTAACTTTAAACTTTTATACAATTTGACATTACAGAATAGTTAAAAACTGGAGATACAACAGAAGGAATACACTTTAATTAATCAAATATGATTCAATAAAATTGCTTAACATGAAAATTTAAGAATAAAAAATAAAAACACAAAGTTTTTATACCTTTACCCCATTAGAGCAGTGAAATTTGTAATATATCCGGTAAAATCTGTATATGGCTTCACATATTTATTTATTTTATAGCCTCTTACACTTACTCTTTATTTATATATACAGTTTAAGTTCATACATAATTAGGTTTGTACACATTTAAATAAATATTTATATCCTGTATAGAACTTTTGGGTAGATGCAAACTACATTTTGTTGCTTTTAACTTGTGACATTGTAATGACAATAAAGTTGAATTGTAATATGTGAAATATGTGAATTATCAGTGCACTCACAATGATGGCATACTGCCCTGTAGTGAAGCAATTTGCTGCCTTGGCTGGTCCTTGGATATCCCGCAGCTTCTTACTCTCTTTTGTGGCTTTCTTTAGGTTCGGCACCTTGTTAAGAAACTTCAGTTTGGGTTTCTCTGGTAGCACAACATCTTTAAGAGAAGGGAAGGGTTAAAAATGACAAAAACAGGTTCAGATGTGGGACATCAGTAGAAAACAACAACATAATAACAAATAATCTACTAAACTCTAAAACCTGCATCCATTAAGTGTTAAACATGACATATAGAATTACTGGAGAGAATTCAGTAAAGCCTAATACAGTTTAATCTTAGTGGGATGGTAAGGAGGCATATGTGGATAAATAATCACCTGTGGAAATATTCACAAATCTGGTCAGCCATTCTGATAAATTTTATTCAGGAAGTTTGACTACTGTAAGACAACAAAGATTTTCTATTGATTGTTATGAAATGTAGAAATAACTTTTGACTATAAAATAATACTTCAATCTTTTTTTCTTTTTTTTTTTTTTATTGATGCCCTTTTGAATCTGATTTTACACCATAATCTGCCAGGAGTATGGATCCTTTTTGTCCCAACTGTAATCAGTGGAGGCATGAATCTGCGGATGAGAGGATGAAGTCTTACTGCTGTAGTCTGGAGTGATCTGATATGTCTTCAGGCCGGCAGCACTGATTCTCAAACAGCTGTGCAAAGGAGCTGTGGAGTATAAAAAAAAATGAACAGATTTAAGCAAATTTGTTTCAAGAATATCACACTGTCCACAGCATTGTCTATTTTAATGCTAAAACTCACAGCTTCTCATTTAATTTCAGTGCAGCGAAGATAAAAAAAATAAACTATTAATGATGTTATTACAATGTAATTATTCTGTAATGTCATTTTGGTGATAAGTAAACAAAAATTGGTTAGAAGAAGAGTTGAGACCTGGGTTAGAAGTTTCCTCTAGATATTAACTAAATAGAACGTGCTTACCTGAAAATCAAACCTGAAATAAGTATAAGTATTTATTTATTTTTTTGGCTTTGGGTTATATATGCGTGTAAAAGCTTTGTGTGTAAAGCTCTATCGTATAAAATTGGGTGGACCATGGGAACACAATGGTTTACAATCATATTCATCTATATCTGGATCTATCAAACTAGTGATTCAGAAAACATTTTTTCTGTTTACAATATACATATATAAGTAATTTTTCCTAAACTCCTCCAAGGATTCACTAAATATTGTTTGTATTTTCTAACATTTTCTATCACAAACTTCCTACCTTGTTGGCTGTGAGCTCTGCAGATTGCATTCAGGCCGCGCGCTGCAGCCTTAACAAATGACATCATGTTGTACCGAGCGATGCTACAAAAAACAGAAAGTTACCCCGATACATTCAGTCACAAGCATTTTAAAAAACACTAGTGAAATACTGTGTTCTCATAAATTTAAGCCTAGATCAACAAGGTCGCAGTCGTTCACATGTGACACGTGACAACTACTTCCGCTTACGTTAGGCAAGTACTTCCTGTGGACACCGACTTTCAAAATAAAACTTATTATTATTTTATTTTTATTAAACCATTGACATTTACATGAAAAAAAAATACTATCAGAGAGGATGCAAAAAGTGTACATGAACAGATTAAGATTAATTACAATTGAAAAACAAAAGTAAAACAAATAGCACGGGATTTATCTCAACAAACATTTAATTCAAACATAGAAAAAAAAACATAGGAATATGAAAAACATAAAAGGTGCATGCAATTAGAAAAGTAGATGTTGGGAGAATTCAAGACTAAATTTTTTGGCATATTTTTTTTAACGTTTTAGGAGAAGAAAAAAAGGTTTTAAAGTCATTAATAAACCAATGAAAGGAATGTTTAGGATTTCTTCAGTTAGTACAGTAGATATATTATATATACCCAACAACAGGAGGATTTTAATAGTATCAGAAACAGGCTGGGGAAGATGTTCTCCCCATTTGCCTTAAATGACGGGATTTAAGGCAAATGGGGAGACATCGTTAATCATTAATAAGAAATACAATCTTTCAACTCTTTCCAGAAGCGATGTGTAGGAGGACACAGGTAAAACAGATGTTCAAGAGTTTCACTATTATTATTACAAAAGGAACGCTGATCCACCTCAAAACTTTATCAACTGTTTCTGAACTAACAGGAATATCTCTCTTCCAGGTAAATCTATCAGAATCATGAAATTTTCTGGCTAGCAAAAAACTGCTAATGAATTTATAATTGCATTTTTTATCAAACAGATTGCATTGTGCAATCAACAAGCTGGGCAATATTGGTGGCTAATTATTATATAACCTAGAATTTTTAATTAAATGAATTAACGGCAGTGGAATCGATTTACACAGTTTGTTATACTCCCTAAGAGAACAATTTACATCATTTTTTTATCTGAATGATTTAAAATATTGCTGTTATAAAATAAATCTGTAAACCTCATTATTAGTCACTGGTTACTTTTCCTAAGTTTAACAAAATAAGGTCAGTGATTTAATTTTAGTACACGCATAAGGATTTTTTTTTCACATATAGCACACATATGTGAATCACAATGGACACTCTGTCACAGTTTATGGATGAAACTGTTAAACTTTGTGTTGAATGTTGTGTTAAGCAGCTGGTAAGCTTGGGTCAGCTGTAATGTGTTTAAAACAGCAAATATTGTTCCTGTCATCTAATGAGGAGAAAAGATAAACAACCTATGACGCAAACCTACGAGTTTTCTTTTTTCCAGAAGTTTATTGACAATTGTAAGCATCTAGACAACTAGAAAACTCAAATTATAGCTAAATTGTATAATTTACAGAAGAATGTATAGTTTATAAAAAAAAATAGATGGACATGAAATACAAAAAACAAAAGCTGTCATATATGTGGACGCACTGTATATATTCCATGCACCTTTTTTTCTTCCTTGGGCACTTTCTTCTCTTTTTTGACTATTTGAGTCGGAAGTTATGAGTACATTTCTCCACTGTGAGATTAATAAAGTCAAATCAACCAACCAAAAAGAGAATAATTTTAAAAGCTGTGGCCTCATAAAGCTTTGTTACATCTCTTATCTATAAGTGTGATGCCAGCAATAGGATAACTGGATGATGGATATAGAGAGTAACTGTTAGTAGGCTCTTTGCTAAAGAGACTATACTAATAATTCACACCTTTAAGTAGAATGAAGACAATGAACACTGAAACAAGGGCTTTAAGCTGCTTTATTATCACAAGTTTTTTTTTATTATTATTACTATATTACAGATACATTTAAAGTTCTTTAGCTGGTCAGTGGCTATTTTCCATGGGAAACATAACTTCTGCCTCTAACAAAGGAAACAATATCCTCATCCACACAATTGCTGTCACATTAGGAATGCAATAAAAATAAATATTCTAGATAAAACACAATGAACACAAGGTAACACTATAAACTACTGAAACAGTTTCCAGCAACTTCCATCAAATACATAAGAGGAGGATTTGGTGGCTTTTTCAGTCAACAGAATAACAAGTCTCTTTAATATTTGGCCTTGGAAGAATGAAGCTAAATCCCATGGTAGAGGAGATCATACTTTGGAATATTCTTTGGATCTATGGGACTCTGGACAATCATTTTCCCCCTCATGGCTCCTCTGTAAATCACCTCGATCAGGTCTATGAAATCCTGTTTGGTTTTAAAGCTGCCAACAAACTTAGTGTGATCTGGAGAGCTGGAAAGACATAAAAAAAAAATGAATAAACACTACTGTAATATAATAATACATGTCTAATTAAAATAAGCAAAATATCACTCACTACTATTTTAGGTACATTCCTCTAGCACTTGGTTGGAATATTGCCCTCAGATCTTTCTTTATTGAACGGATTACACAAGATATTTTGTTTTAATGTGATATTGGATCCCATTTTCTGCCCCAATCTTACCTGTAAGTTTGTGTCTCTAATGTGGATGAATGTCCAGATGCTCAAATGCATTAAAATGTTTTAATCTCATCTGTTACTGAACATGTTAACTTGAAAAAGTAGCTGATAAGAGAACTTACTAAGAATTATTCCGACAACTAGCACTTGTTCTACACAGCTATACTACCAGCAAATTTAGAATATCAAATAAACAATATTTTAAAGCAGATATCCAGAATTTTTTTTTTTCAGTATAAAAGTGCAACGATCTTACAGCACTTTAAAATGACTGAAAATAAACTGGATCCATTTTTGAAATTATTTGTAATGTCCAACCTTATCTTCAGTTCATTGCTCACTTAATTTCACTTTAAACTATCTTTTCCCTCACTTTACATCTTATTTGTGCCTCATCGATTTCCTAAATTCCTTGAATTCAATTCAATTTCAGTTTTTTATCTGTCTTACCAGTTTATTCTCACTTCCGTTACCAGTATTTTAATATCACTGCTTATGTTTATGTATAATTTTAGTGTTTCATCAAATGAATAAAAAATTTTTTTTTTCTGGTTTCCATGTTTATTATTATTATATATATATATATATATATATTTTTTTTTTCATTTGTATCTGTTCTATATAATCTTGTTGGAAATGTCTAAGATAAAAACTTCATTTTGTCCTAATGTTTGTGTATTATCCCATCAGTTATTTTCCCCAAGTGCATTCTTGGATATTTGGAAATGCTTACATTCTTAAACATTCTCAAAGGACCAGAATGTAATAGATTTTGATATTTATAAAATAGTTTAGGATAACAAATAATATAATATAAATCACTTCCATAAAATGAATTAGCAAAAAGTGAATGATCAAATGCCCTTCATTTCTGCTTTTATCACTAAGTTATAGTTCCCTTAAACAGACTTGGGTGGTATTTTAATTGCTGATGCAAATACTAACCCATTTCCTCAACATACCCATAATCAACTTTCATGTGTTGTCCATTAAAAAAGAACACAGTGGAGGGAATGTAGCTGATGTCAAAGTATCTGGTGTAAATAGGAGCTTTGTCCACATCAACGATGTAGATGGATGCCATGTTACTCAGATCGTGAGCAGTTTTTGACAGCTGAAAAAAAAAAGAAAAAAACACAAGAGGAAAAAGTTCAGCCACTGCATTTTCAGAGCGGATGTTTTCTTATTAAAGTCACACTTACGATCTCGTCGATCTGGAGACAAACTGAGTCATCATCTCTTCCAAACCGCAGAACTAAAACTTTCTCCGCTACACCTTTGATCACTTCGTCTATGTCTTTTTTACTCGTTAGTTTTGGTAAAAAGAAACTCATTTTACAGGCTATGAGGTTAGCTTTGCTGCTGCTGCTGCTGCTGCTGCTGCTGCTTACAAACGGAAGTTACGTCAATTGTGTGTGTCTTTAGTTAAGATTCCCCAAGAAACAAGAAAAGCAACTACATTATATTCAAAACCATTTTTTTTTTTTTATTAATTGAGTTTCTATTTAGGACATTTCGGAAATTTTACTCTGAATATGTGGCAAGAGAAAGCTTTAATAATTGCGAATTCTAGCACTGTATTAGCCAGTATTCAAAATAAGAAATCAGATTCAAAGCAAATTATTTTTCTGCAAATCATCCAGACTTTTATATAGACTGTTCAGATCTAAGAAAGAAGTTGTATTTATATGTGTTCCACCTCATATGGGAGTAGATGGAAATGAAATAGCAGATACGTTTGCAACGCATGGAGCTTTTAAAACAGCTATAGATGTTCCATTTAAAATAAGAAAATCAGAGATCAAATGTATTTTAAATAGGAAATAAAAGGTGATTCTAGCTATTGTGTAGAATTAGAAACTCTATAACCTGTCATTATTGATTACACTAAGTATAAAAACAGAATAGAATAATAGAAAATCCCTTTATTGTCCCACAATGGGGAAATTCTAGTGTTTAAAGCAGTAAAAAGATTATAGGAAAAAAATGTCACATGGCTTTGAACCTTAGAAAAAATGCATAATAATTTACTAGTGAAGAGTTAAAAGATAAACAATAAAATATTGTCTTGAGTAAAATAAAATAACCAAAATACAGCTAATTATAGAAACACATGAACAATTAATAGCTGCAGGCAATGGACCAGACTTAGTTTATTTATATTTTTTAAGATCCACGATTATTTAATAGAATTTAGATAGAAATGCTGGGGCCTTCCTGTCCCCCACTCTATTTTGGAAGATGGCGGTGATGCATATCAGAAGTTGTTTGCCAACCGCGAGAACACAAAATTTTAAGGAAAAGCACTTAGATTAGGTTATAAAATTATGTTTCATTATTTATTGGTAACAGGTTTAGCGAAAAGAATATAGTTTTTTTTTGTTTGTTTGTTTGTTTTTTAGCATGTTTGTCCTAATCCACACTCCTCACTGGTTGGTGGCGGTAATGCACCATATAGTTGTTTGCCAACCGCAAACAACTAAGAAGAAGAAGCAGAACCGCGAGAACGAGTAGTACGACACATTATAATGTGACACCGTGTAACAACGTTACCTTCCGACACTTTTAGGACGTATATATTAAACACATGTGGGGACGAATATCTTTCTTTTCATGATATTTAATACAGTCTACCTGTTTTTTTCTGTGACCGGTTTATGAAAAGAGAATGGGAAGATAATCTCGTTAAATCATTTCCGGGGTTTTCGTGTTCAGCAAATAGTTTTTGACAATTCTTTTGAGGAAGCCGTTGTTCTGTTTTTCCTATTATGTTGCGGCACCTCTCTACCAGATGCTGCATTTCGCTTTTGAAAAGGACTTTTTTGACATCCGCAAACAAACCAGCCTTTGGTGTTAAACCTTACAGAGGGTCCTTCCTGGTCAGACACATCTGTGCAGGTAAACCTTTGAGGAAAGATGGCCTCGGAACTAAAGAAGATCCATCAGAGATAAAAGAAGCTCTTGATCTAGACAAATGGAAATCTGTAATGAGATCCCAGGCTACATTCCAGGAGCAAAGACAAACCCGGGAAGAGGAAACAAGTGAGGAGGATGGTGGTCTGGAAGATGAAGGTGATGATATAAAGGGCAGTTCCTCATTGGAGGCAACCCGTGAACTGGTGTCTATGTGGCGTCAAGCTGGGAAGCTTGTACCTCAGGAAATGACAGAGGAGGAGGTGAGGACGCTTGCAGATCTCACCACCAAGTCTTCCAGAAAAAAGTACCTGAAATACCTGGCCATCAAGGAGGGACATAAACTAGCCCGGAAGGAGAAGCAGCTGAAGAAGAAGGCTGACAGAGCAGCCATGATGGAGAGCAGTGGTGATGGAGAAGGGGATCGTACTCTGAAAAACACCATGTTTCTCCAGTACTGGGATCGCTCCCTGGACAAACTGATGGCCTGGAGAACTGCCCAGGCCATGATGTTCGGTCAACCAATTGTGTTTGATATGAGCTACGAGTCCAACATGTCTAGAAGGGAGATAGAGAACACCGTCTCCCAGCTGATGGAAGTGGAAGGGTGGAACCGACGTGCAGCCGAGCCGTTTCACCTACATTTTTGTAACCTTCACCCTGATGGGTTCTACAAGACAGAGCTGCTGAAACGATATAGTGAAGAGACCTGGGAGCGCCTGCTCATCACCAGCACTGAGCAGCATTATATTAAGCTGTTTCCCAGGGAACAGCTGGTTTACCTCACTGCTGACTCCCCCAATGTCCTCCGCAGCTTTGACCACTCCAAGGTCTACATCATTGGTGCCTTGGTGGATAGGTCCATCCAGTCTGGATTGTCTCTGGCCAACGCAAAGCGCCTAAATCTAGCAACGGCTCGCTTACCTCTTGATGAGTTTCTTCACTGGGACATGGGAGCCAAAAATCTGACTCTGGACCAGATGATTCGCATCATGCTGACTGTCAAAGATACAGGGAAATGGGTAGAGGCCTTAAAGTTTGTGCCGACGCGGAAACACGACGGCTTCTATCAAAGGCAGCCGCAGGCAGAGGAATCAAATAACAGACCCAGAACTGGAAATAAACAGAAAGTGTATGGGAATGTGTCCCTGAGATCTGAAGCGAAACACACTGGGAGAACATTTAAGAGCCAGGAAATCTACAAATCCAATACTGACAGAATGATTGAAGCAAATGGCGCCAGAAAAGGATCGGATGGGGCAACAAAAATACGCACGTCGCTCAAAAGCCAGATGGAAGCAAGAAAAAATACAGACAAGTCCAGGATCTGGTGGCATGATGAGTGACAGGATAACTAGATAACAAAGGACAATGTATCAAAATCAACATGGAAGGTGGTAAAGAAACTTTTCACTGTGTACAAATGACAAAAATATCTTTTATTAAAAAGGTAGAAACTTCTTTGGTCTTTATTTTTTCTGACAGAAATCAAAAAGATTCATAAATAATGTTTTGAAACAGTTTCATGGTAACTGAAATCACACCTATAACTACATTTCAAGAGGGATGAAACAAAACTAAATACTATACAGCAGGTATAGTATTTATTTAAATACTGCAGTATATAAGAAGCAAATTCATAGTGTATTCCAGAAAAAAAGGTATCTGACATTTCAGCAAAACACTGCACATCATAGTAGCATCAGTTCACCTTTAAAACACTGAATCTGCTGAGTGTTATTACTGTTTTTTTAGCGTCTCCTTCTCGCCCCCCTTCCAAAAAACTTAACTTAAACCTTCCCAAAACCAAAAAAAGCCGCCTTAATAAAAAGATGCACATACACTTTTTTATGTGCAAGCCCTTGCATCTGCCTCCTCACCTAAAAGCTCATGGCAGTACGAAGAAAGCTGTTAAGAAACATCAATTCCAGCTTAATATTACAGATAAAACTGAGCTGGCAGTCGCATCATAACACTGACTCCCTCATCTAGTTTTAAACATGGTTGATATTGGGCTAAAATGCTTCCCTAATTCCTTTTTTATGTTAACTGAAATGACAGGATCGAACCATGCAATAAAACAACTACACCAGTAGTCTGACAAGTTTTTCACAGAAAAACAAAACGGACTGATGCTCTGTGTGTCCAATGAGGTTTATAATACTATGATGTCCCCGGTGCAGCGCTCACAGCAGTTGAAGGTTATGTTCTCATAGCGGGTATAAGGATGAAACCTGCCGATGCTCTTCTTACTGTTTAGAAAGTTTGGAGAGGGGGATTCACAGAGAGGAGGTTCTTCCTTGTTTTCTGAACAAGAAATTGGATTCAACACCTTCAACACCTAAGAGTGAAGAAAATGTAAAGAAATCAGTTGTTGGATTCTAAAACTAGCAATTTTAAGGAAAGAAAAGATATGTGAAACTGCTACCTTCTCAGCCATCTTCTCTGCTGGCGTGCTGCAGAGCTGCTCTGCTGGTGCACCGCTGCTCTTCCCCGTGTTGCTTTTAGTGTCGTTTTTGCCCAATAGATGGGAGTTAATGGCGTCTGCTAGCTTGTGATTGGCTGCAGCCAGCTCACCGAAGCTAAGCGGCTGTGCACTGGGGTAGTATGTCTGTTGTCTGCCCCACTGCAAGGACACCAGGAGCTGTTCCAGGGATCTGAATACACACAGAACAAAGGTCGATTAAACTCAATAATTACTCATAACATGACCTAAACAAAAGCTTTGAATTTTTTGACTTTTTTAATCTCTTTATTTGCTGTGACGGATCAGTTTTCCGTGCAAACAGCTCATCCAAATAAAGTGGGCGTGTGGAGCACATAAAAATAAAATAAAATATAAATCAGTTTCTCATCGAAATAGAGAATTAGAATCACAAAGAAAAATCCCCACAGAAAGCAAAATATGGAGAAGAACCAGTGCCTAAAAGCTGACCATTAAAACTATTGAAATAAAAATACAGTTTTTTTTTTTTGTTTTTTTTACTCCAGGAGGATCAAACCCACTGTTTCTTATTATAAAGTTGAGCTTTTAAACTTAAACAATTAATGCAGACTTACAGAGTAACGTGCCTCAAAATATGATGGAAAGACCCTTAATCAAAAGTAAACTTTAAATCTTCCACTGTTTTCCAAGCAAAGATGGAAATGTGCCTCATGTTTGTGTGATAAGGAGCATAAACTGCATAGAAATCATCTAAGAGTTCCATTATTCTCTGAAGAACACATGGTGATGATTTGTTTTCTACAAGGTGTGGACCGCCACGATTAATCATAAATGGCTGCATTAAGTTGCACATGATTCTAAAGGAATGACAGGTTTGGCCCTCATAGAGTCTGTTTCCAGATTCCTCTTGCTGCTCACTGTTGCCATGGTTACCTTAAAACACAGTGGGTTCCTAGTATTTTAATAAGAAGGAAGGAAGGGTGTTCCAGATGGTACTTTCAGGTTTAATGTGAATGAAAATGTTATAAAGAAATGTACACAGAAACATGCGGAAATAAGGATTCATACATCAGACTTTTTAGCTTTTTAGGAAAGCAGAGGGGTTCCACAAAATACCAAATCATGAGATTTAATCCTGCTTTAAAATAAATACTGCTTTTAAAAGGAAATGGCATCTTTACACTTTTATTTGATAACAGTGATAACAGAAAAAACACCGGCGTCCAAACCTCGGTGTCCTAAATGGTAGATATGTTTTACCCACTGGCGTTCAACTAAAGCGTTACGATCTAAAGCATTCTTTAATGTTACTGCCTGAGCTTGGTGACAGCTTCCTGTTCCATTAGTGTGAGGGAAGGCCATCGCAAAAGCTGAGGTTGTAGTTATACCCTATAACACCATCAAGGGCACTCAGTTCAGCAGTGAGCAGGGAAAGAGAGAGTAGCCACTGATTGGGAAAGGCCCTTAGGCTATGACAGTGGTAGTTTCACCTGTGGCTGAGCACCATGTCCCTGGAGAACTCCTCCCTCTCCAGTAGCAGGTCCTGAATTGCTCCTTGGGCCTCCCTGATTTGCCTCTGTAGAGCTGCTCTGGCGTTTGTCAGTTCCTCTGCCATGACTCTGGTGAGGCAACATTTATTTAAACCAATGTGAAAATGGAGCTTATGTTCTAAGAGAAATACTTTTCAGATTGTTTTTTTTTTTTCCCATTCCTACCAACAAAGACAAAATCAAGTGGAGCGTGTCCCACCTGCTGGCCAGGAACTTGCTCCTCCAGACATCACACTGGATACTCATGCGTTCCAGCTGCTCTGCAGTGTGCGCAAGACTTCGGCCTAAAGCCTCGTTCTCCAAGATGAGCTGGTTTTTCTCCCGCGCAAGGCGCTCAAACTGGTACTGAAGGTCATCACCCATGGATGCTACCAACAGTTTCTTAAGTTCACGGTTCACCTGGCAGAGAATAAAGGAAAGTATTTAATGTAGATCAAAATCTACATTCACAAGCATAATACATACATAACTATGGTAAATTCTGTAAACAAGAACAAGCCTTGAAAATTAAAGATGTTGCAGAGTATTTGAACCTTACATAATATTTTTCTAAATATTCTAACACATTTAACTGAGAAATCTGTCTGGTTTTATTTGATTTGTACCTCTGTCTGCACACGGAGCTGATTGGAAAGCCCTTCTTTGTCCTGCAGAAGCCGGCGTTCAGAGTTCTGCAGCTTCTCCAGCTGCCCTCTCCAGTCCTCCACCAACAGAGGAGGGCCCTGCTCTTCGGCCTGCTGTCCCTCGTCTTTCCCTTCAGACGTCGCCACTCGGCCGCTCCGAGAGATAGCAGCTCGCGGCACAATGATCCTAACAGCTTCCACTTCTGTACATGCCTCTCTCTGGACTTTTCCCAGATGAAGCACCCCAAGAGGCTGTGGGGCAGTGGGATGTGCGACATGCGTAGGTTTTGGGTTGTGCTTTGGGCTAGCTACTTTGAGGAGAGGAAGTTCAGGTAAAAGCGTCGGCGGGGCATCTGTGATGACTTCAAGTATGGCTGGTGGCTTTTCAGTTTCCATCCCATCGCCTGCTCCTCGAATAGGCCCGACGGCAGAACCTTGAAAAACAAAAAAGTAAGTATGTCGGCTCATCTCAGTAACAGATGTATAAACAATTCCATTAAAAAAATTGAAAACTTGTGTAAACTAAATGTGAAAAATAAAAAAGCAGAAGATTCTTGGCTTTTGTTGCAAGAGGTGAGAATGGAGAGAAAAACTATGATTTGCAGAGAAAACGTTGTTGTAATGGTTGTAGCTTTTAGCATTTTATTTCTTACTGTACTGAAAGATGATTTGAAACTAGTTAAATCCTCAATCAGGCGGTCAGATTAGTGTAGAGATTTGGGCCTTATCATATTCAGCCAACCCAAACAAAACTAATTACTTGGACAAACATTGGTCAATAAAAACATACTAAATTGTTCACAATGTCCAGCTTTAGAAAACATTTAACAATTGTGGCCTCCTTGGTAAAATGATGACATCATCTGTATGGTTATTTTAGTACAAACAGGAGAATAAACTAACAAACTACCAACCTCCTCCAACAGCAACAGCAGCCATGGTGGCGCAGACGGGACTTTATTTATAGCCTGGCGGTTCTTCAAGCTGTGATAATAAACAGGAGATAAAGCGATTATTCAGCAACAACGGAAATATTGTTTGTTTACGAATCAAGTTACCGTCCGTCAGTGATCACCTTTTATCAGCTGAGAGCTGATAAGGTCACTACGTAGCAACACTTAGCCGTTTGGCTAGCTGTTGACTAAGATAACTCACTTTGTCAGCAAAACTATAGCATCGAACACTCATAAAGTAAGATCACGTTGAACAAAATCGGTTCCAATTGACTGTGAGAAAAAATTCTTAGAATTTAAATATTAAATATTTGTTTACATACCACGGAAAGATGTAGTACACCTCCCCCCTCAGTTAAAACGAAGCTGTTAGCTCCATAGATATAGCTCTGCTACCCGGACATGGTTGGCTTTTCACAACAGCACTTTCGGGTTTTTGTGTTTCCTAGGCTGGACTTTCAGGCTAAACTTCCGGTCAAAAAAATAATAATAATAAACGATACACCCCAAAATGTAGCGTCACAATTTATCTTCATAACACCTTTAAAAATGTATTGCTGTTTTTTGTGTGTGTTTTTGTTGATTTTTTTTTTGTAAACAAGGCTACGTAGGATAGCGGAACCTTTGAATATTGACTGGGTTGCATTACGGAATTAAGAAGCGCTACAAAAACATCCCAGTTACCACATTTCTTTTGTCTCATTCATTTGTTTAATTTTCTAAGGTCCTGGTTAGACTTTCCTCGGTGTTTATATTGAGTTGTTATCATGGGAGTTCATGGACTTTGGAGACTCCTGGAGAGCACAGGGAAACCAATCAACCCCGAGACTCTGGAAGGAAAGATCCTCGCTGTCGGTATCCTAAACTTTGTTATTGTTTCTTGTTATTAAGATGTCCCGTATTTACCTGCGAATTGCATGAATGAATCGCTACCAATGTTGAGTCACCCAAAGCACCTTAACCAGTCTGTCTCAGATATCAGCATATGGCTGAACCAGGCAGTGAAAGGGGTGAGGGACCGTGAAGGCAACAGCGTCCAGAACGCCCACCTCCTCACTCTGTTCAACCGCATCTGTAAATTACTGTTCTTCCGAATAAGGCCAGTGTTTGTGTTTGATGGAGATGCTCCCATGTTGAAGAAGCAGACCCTGGTGAGAGCAGCAGAGGTGATCACTGTAAGGATGCGATGCTCACCTGGTTTAATAACATGGAGTCTTTCCTGTGCAGGCTCTGAGGAGGCAGAGGAAAGAGGAGCTGACCAGTCAGTCCAAACAGACCAATGAGAAACTTCTGAGGACGTTCCTGAAGAGACATGCAATCAAAGCTGCACTTGGAGATCATAGGTGAGCAGCAGTGGGAAAAGTTTTCACAGAAATCTGCTGAAGTCGAATCTGAAATATTCCTCACTTCTGTCCCCCACTGCAGTAAGGAGCCTTTACCCAGCCTTTCTAGTGTGAGGAGAAATGAAGTGGATGACATGTACGTCCTACCCGCCCTGCCACCTGCAGAGGAGAAGGAAAAAAGCAGGTCAGAGTCAAGAAATGTTTCCTCCAACCAGTACTCGAGTTGAGGGGGGATGGCATCCACCTTCTTAAAAAAAAAAATCTTAAAATCATCCCCCCATACATTCCCCTGTGACATTTTATTAATGAATGTGTAAAATTTCTACTATATATTAACACTAATGGCAATAATATTGCCCTTTCAACATTTGGTGGGCTTTGGGTTTACGAGTGGCCTGAGCAAAATAAATCAAATCACAACTATGAAGCTGATCCCATTGGGAAATGAGTCCCTAACTATGTAGGGGCTGTGATAGCCATGCCAGTCCAGGGACTGACTGCAGTTCTACTGTAAGGTGCCTTGGTCAAGGTCAATGACCAACATCCCGACATGTAACAACCATACCATGCATAGTGCTTTAGGTTAATAGAATATGTTAATTAAGCTATGTATGCTTCCAAAATAGTAAAAAAACAATCCACTGTACTTTGTTTGTAAATTTCCCAAACTTGTTTTGGCTGAAGAAAAAGCACTTTTTCGGCTACTATATAAAGCTTCTAACTCAACGCTGTTTCTGAGCTTTTGAATTGAAAGAGCTTCCTGTAATGGGAATAAAAACATCTTCAAACTCTTTATTTTTATTTTATTTTTTTCGGGGGGTGGGGGGGGGTATGACTGTGAATCAAAATGAATTCCACCAACCCCCTTCTTTCAAAAATTTGCTCTGAGACATTTGGGTTTTGATGTGACAGACCAACACACCAAGCATAGTTGTATAGTAATAGAAAAGTGACCCATGGTTTTTGGCAATTTGTTATGTGACCCATTTACTTTTATACCCCTTAAATGTAGTGGAGCCGTTGGAAGACGTCACCTATTGCACCTCTGGTTTATCGTTTAATGTAAATTTCAGTTTTCTAAAGCACTGTGTTTATTATCAATGAAATGACATTTTACTCATGCACAGGTGTCAGATTTGAAATTAAATCTAATAGGTGTAATTATGAGTGTAACTTATATAAATAAATAGAATAGAAAATCCCTTTATTGTCCCACAATGGGGAAATTCTGGTGTTTACAGCAGCAAAAAGATTATAGTGCACCTGGAGAATAAATAACCAATATACAGCTATGGAAATTTTTACAGTAATGGACATTTGAAAATAGCAGCAACATCAGAGATGTGCAAAATGACAGCAGCATGTTATTGTACTGACTAAGATAGAAACAGCAAAATCAGTATAAATGTAACAACTTATTGAGGTTGTTGGGAACAATGATGGTTATAAAGTCTTACAGCTGCTGGGAGGAAGGATCTGCGATAACGCTCCCTGATTTATTTAGGATGCAGCAATCTCTGACTGAAGGAGCTCTCCAGTTCTGCAACAGCTTCATGCACGGGGTGGGAAACAATAGTCCAACAGAGATGTTAATTTAGGTAGTATCTTTTTGTTTCCCACCTCCTGCACTCAGTCCAGAGGGCATAATATCGCAAAGCTGAATGGATGATATACAGAAACGGGACGATCATGAAGGCAATCTTTAGGTCATATAGCGGTGTGTATTTTAACCTTCATTAAAGAGGAATTTTATTTTTTTTTCTGCAGCTCAGGTGAAGATGAGGAGGGGAAAGACGGTGAGGAAACGGCTGACAGCTTCCAAACGTATGAGGTATGAATGAGTGTGTGGAGTTTTGAATCTTATACATTCAGTTTAGTCTAAATTGACATTTGCGTGTCACATGACAGAGAGGCAAATAAGCTCAGTTTATTTCCTCTAAATCAAATTCATTTCAGTTCAACACTGTCGTATAGGTAAAGGTAGAGGCAATTACATCCGATGATATCATGGAAATAATAATGATGTCTAAATTATGTCTAAAATCACTTTAAAGTGAAGAATTGGCATGAAATCATAGAAGTTCCTCTTAGGAAAAACTTTAAGGAAAAATCAAATCTGGCAGTATAGAGAGGTGATAATTAACCCATAAAAGGCCACATCCAGGAAAAAGAGACAAAAGAACTGAGTCTGGAATACTTTCTGATGTTAATGAACAGAGGTAATGGCAGCAGTCATTTCAAATCATGCATAATAGGAGAACTGATGGAAGAATTAGCAGAAATTTGTTCATTATTTATCTGTGTTCTAGTTTCAGAAATGTTTGGGATACTAAAAATGCACATTTTGAATTAAAACACTTGGAAACAAATAAAGTGTAATAAAACAGTTATACGAAACACAACATTTTTAAAGTTTGGGGGAAATAAGTTTCTAACTTTTAATTTAGCAGCAGTAATTTGTTCCAAACGCTTGAGAGATGTTTGTTTTTTTAGGCTTTAAAAGTGAAAAACACTGTCCTTTCTATCTATTTAAACAATAGATGCTTTGCATAAGGATGTTTGTTAGTGACAAGGCTAGATGATTAAAAAAAAAGCCTTTAGGTATAATTTCTTTGGTTTTTTTTTTTTTTTGTTTTTTTTTTCTAAGATTTCACCAAACTTGAGATTATTAAAAAAATTGAGGAGGACTCAATGAAAAAGGGGCTTCAACTACATTTTCTTTCTAATTTGTTTGTCATCTCCCAAATATATTTAATTCCTAAGATTTCCGTGTGCCTAAATGTTTTGTGTAAACTCTTCCTTGATGACTCAGTTTCATGAAGAGCTATATGAGGACCCAAACTCGGTGGACATCAACTCTGAGGATTTCGCCAACCTGCCTCCAGAGATGAAACACGAGATCCTAAAAGAGATGAAAGAATTCTGTAAAAGACGGCGCACCATGTTTACCAAACCTCCTGAGGTACGTCACAGTCTGCTACACGCTCCACTCCTCTTTTCAGCGCCAACTTCAATCTTACCTTTCCTCCTCTTTTAGCGTTCCAGAGACTTTTCGCAGTTCCAGCTGGCCGGCCTGCTGCAGAGGAACCGACTGAACCAGCGTCTGGAGGGCGTTGAGAAGGAGATGTGCCAGCGTAGCGCCGGCAGCGCCCCGCAGCTCGGCCAGCAGGACGGAGATCAGCAGAATCACAGCGTGGAGTCAAACCGGCTGCTTTCAGAAGACCACTCACACTATATACTAATCAAAGGTGAGGCAGATTAAGCATCTGGTTTATGATTAGTCTCTTATGAGAATATTAATTGCTAACATGGCTTATTTAATGTTTGATTAAAAGTACAGCACATTTTTACTAAATAACAATTTTGCTCACATTGAAATATCGTAAGTCATGTCGACTTCAAAGGTTCCCAATCCAGCCTTAGATTTGGTTATTATTTTGATTTTCTGCTGTTAATTTTATGTACAATTCAGATCTTTACTTTCTATGCATGCAGGCTCTAAAAAGAACGAACCAACCTCAGAAAGCCGACCTGCGGCTGCACCCTGGTCTGGCAGCTCCCTGACGGGCTGCAGAAAGAGGAACGCTGACAAACCGGAGCCCCTTTGGCGACCCGTCACTGGAGATGAAGACGATGAGAAAGATGAAGTAAGAGCAACCTGCTCTGAAGTTTCCCCCCCTACCGTGTCGAAACCATCTCCACCGTCGCCTCGGACACTCAAGGCAATTCAGGCTGCTATGAGCGACAGCTCGGAGGAAGAGGACCCAGATAAAAAGGATGGAAGAGTGTCTCCACGCACACTCCTAGCAATCCAGCAAGCATTAACTGAAGAGGAGAATGAAGCTAGTGTCTCAG